AGTCCGTTACGAATTAATGCAAAATAACTATTAATATGCGATGTGCATTTAGCACACATAGTTTGAGCATAAATTTATGCTGTTTTAAATGTATTGCATTATTTATAACACTTCACCAACTTAATTAAATTGACTTTTCTTTTTATTAACGGCTTGACGTATTTTTGCATAACATATGAATGATATTCATTGAATTTAAATTTGAAAATCCGTTATAAATACGTTTCATATGTGATTTGCATCTTTATGTTAAGAATCCACACGTTATGAAGTAGAAATGGTACAGATAAACACAAAATCTTTACGAGTGATTTTTAATGTACTTTACTAATGAATGCTTTAAAAAAATTAAATTTTATAAAACGAATGAAAAATTTTGAAAGTCGTTACTAATTTCCCATTGAAAACTGGTAATTTATAAACAGTTGAACGTAACGAAGTGCAACGAAGTGAAGTTCAACACACCTGTAACCTATGAACCTACTGTAATCTATAAACAGTTGAACGTAACGAAGTGAAACGAAGTGAAGTTCAACACACCTGTAACCTTTAAACCTACTGTAATCTATAAACAGTTGAACGTAACGAAGTACAACGAAGTGGAGTTCAACACACCTGTAACCTATAAACCTACTGTGATCTATAAACAGTTGAACGTAACGAAGTGCAACGAAGTGGAGTTCAACACACCTGTAACCTATAAACCTACTGTAATCTATAAACAGTTGAACGTAACGAAGTGCAACGAAGTGGAGTTCAACACACCTGTAACCTATAAACCTACTGTAATCTATAAACATTTGAACGTAACGAAGTGCAACGAAGTGGAGTTCAACAAACCTGTAACCTATAAACCTACTGTAATCAATAAACAGTTGAACGTAACGAAGTGCAACGAAGTGGAGTTCAACACACCTGTAACCTATAAACCTACTGTAATCTATAAACAGTTGAACGTAACGAAGTGCAACGAAGTGGAGTTCAACACACCTGTAACCTATAAACCTACTGTAATCTATAAACAGTTGAACGTAACGAAGTGCAACGAAGTGGAGTTCAACACACCTGTAACCTATAAACCTACTGTAATCAATAAACAGTTGAACGTAACGAAGTGGAGTTCAACACACCTGTAACCTATAAACCTACTGTAATCTATAAACAGTTGAACGTAACGAAGTGCAACGAAGTGGAGTTCAACACACCTGTAACCTATGAACCTACTGTAATCTATAAACAGTTGAACGTAACGAAGTGCAACGAAGTGAAGTTCAACACACCTGTAACCTATAAACCTACTGTAATCTATAAACAGTTCAACGTAACGAAGTGCAACGAAGTGAAGTTCAACACACCTGTAACCTATGAACCTACTGTAATCTATAAACAGTTGAACGTAACGAAGTGCAACGAAGTGAAGTTCAACACACCTGTAACCTTTAAACCTACTGTAATCTATAAACAGTAGAACGTAACGGAGTGCAACGAAGTGGAGTTCAACACACCTGTAACCTTTAAACCTACTGTAATCTATAAACAGTTGAACGTAACGAAGTGCAACGAAGTGAAGTTCAACACACCTGTAACCTATAAACCTACTGTAATCTATAAGCAGTTGAACGTAACGAAGTGCAACGAAGTGAAGTTCAACACACCTGTAACCTATAAACCTACTGTAATCTATAAACAGTTGAACGTAACGGAGTGCAACGAAGTGAAGTTCAACACACCTGTAACCTATAAACCTACTGTAATCTATAAACAGTTGAACGTAACGAAGTGCAACGAAGTGAATTCAACACACATGTAACCTATAAACCTACTGTAATCTATAAGCAGTTGAACGTAACGAAGTGCATCGAAGTGAAGTTCAACACACCTGTAACCTATAAACCTACTGTAATCTATAAACAGTTGAACGTAACGGAGTGCAACGAAGTGAAGTTCAACACACGTGTAACCTATAAACCTACTGTAATCTTTAAACAGTTGAACGTAACGAAGTGCAACGAAGTGAAGTTCAACACACCTGTAACCTATGAACCTACTGTAATCTATAAACAGTTGAACGTAACGAAGTGCAACGAAGTGAAGTTCAACACACCTGTAACCTATAAACCTACTGTAATCTATAAGCAGTTGAACGTAACGAAGTGCAACGAAGTGAAGTTCAACACACCTGTAACCTATAAACCTACTGTAATCTATAAACAGTTGAACGTAACGGAGTGCAACGAAGTGAAGTTCAACACACCTGTAACCTATAAACCTACTGTAATCTATAAACAGTTGAACGTAACGAAGTGCAACGAAGTGAATTCAACACACATGTAACCTATAAACCTACTGTAATCTATAAGCAGTTGAACGTAACGAAGTGAAGTTCAACACACCTGTAACCTATAAACCTACTGTAATCTATAAACAGTTGAACGTAACGGAGTGCAACGAAGTGAAGTTCAACACACGTGTAACCTATAAACCTACTGTAATCTATAAACAGTTGAACGTAACGAAGTGCAACGAAGTGCAACGAAGTGAAGTTCAACACACCTGTAACCTATGAACCTACTGTAATCTATAAACAGTTGAACGTAACGAAGTGCAACGAAGTGAAGTTCAACACACCTGTAACCTATAAACCTACTGTAATCTATAAGCAGTTGAACGTAACGAAGTGCAACGAAGTGAAGTTCAACACACCTGTAACCTATAAACCTACTGTAATCTATAAACAGTTGAACGTAACGGAGTGCAACGAAGTGAAGTTCAACACACCTGTAACCTATAAACCTACTGTAATCTATAAACAGTTGAACGTAACGAAGTGCAACGAAGTGAATTCAACACACATGTAACCTATAAACCTACTGTAATCTATAAGCAGTTGAACGTAACGAAGTGAAGTTCAACACACCTGTAACCTATAAACCTACTGTAATCTATAAACAGTTGAACGTAACGGAGTGCAACGAAGTGAAGTTCAACACACGTGTAACCTATAAACCTACTGTAATCTATAAACAGTTGAACGTAACGAAGTGCAACGAAGTGAATTCAACACACATGTAACCTATAAACCCCCTATAATCTTTATTTCTCTATTTCATTAGAATAAGACTAAAAAGTAGAAAATAAAATACTTTATAAAAAAAACTTTTTAAAAAAACTACGTTTTTCGCGTAGACTAAAAAGTAGAAAATAACTTTTATTCTTGGTTGTAAAGAATTTGGTTTTAAATTTTCAGATTATATTTAATAAATTTTTATATCCTAGTCAATATTGTTCACAAAGTTTCGAATAAGTGCACTTTGATCTTATCGTATAACTCAACAACTTAAAAACGTGGGCGCATTAATTTAAGTTTATCATAAAGTATTGATTTCACATAAACTTATTTCTCCTCTTATAATGCGCCCACGTTTTTAAGTTGTTGAGTTATACGATAAGATCAAAGTGCACTTATTCGAAACTTTGTGAACAATATTGACTAGGATATAAAAATTTATTAAATATAATCTGAAAATTTAAAACCAAATTCTTTACAACCAAGAATAAAAGTTATTTTCTACTTTTTAGTCTACGCGAAAAACGTAGTTTTTTTAAAAAGTTTTTTTTATAAAGTATTTTTTCATTTAAGAGCACATTTGGGAGTTCATTGGAATTCAGTATTGTTTTTTGTTGCTTAGTAATTTGTTGGTTTGAAAATTTTCTTTATGATTCATTAACCTTCATAAAAGCTTGGCATTGCAAAACAAATGGAAAACGGAGACATAAAGTGAGATGATTCAGAAACTCACGAATTTAATAACTTCCAGTTTTGAAAAATTATCAGATATAACCGATATAACCAAGAATAAACGAAACAATCGGATACTGATATATGTAATTATTCTAAGAATATTTCTTAAAAAATCAATTGTTTTAAACATCGATTAAGATGAGAACTAAGAAATAAAAATCTAAATACATTACAACCTTTTCAAATTTAGCCACACCTTTATTAGCAAAAAAATAAAATTAACATTTACTATGCAATAAGAAGATGGACAAAAGTAACCGCAACATATTGAAGAATTCCTTTTCATTTGTATCGAAATAAATTATAATAGACCCCACTTCAATGTGTCCATTCACATCCATTTTGTAGTATTTTCAGCAGTGAGGTTAGCATTTGGCTATTTTGAATTTTAAAAGAATATTTTAACAGTCACACGATCATAAATCGTTTAACTAAAACAGAATCTCATTTCTTTCTACATCGTTCGTGTGGTTTGTTATCATTGGCGAAGGTTAAAGACAGATGTGTCTTCCAAAAACCGCGAAGAAGAATGGATATTTATATGTATATAAAAATTGTTACTTCATGTTTTCACTCATTCGATTGCCTGCCCATTTCATGTCTTTTAACAGCAACGAATAGAGAGAGAGAGAGAAAAACTTAAAGACAAGTCAACAAGACAGAACATAAGAGGAGACAGTAAGAGAATCGTTTATACGAAATTTATTACATTTAGAACACATGTTTTTTCCGAAGCTAAAGAGAACTATGAGACATAGAGCACATCTAGTGATATATCACCATAAAATTAAGTCCCGTAATGTTCTGTTTTGATATTTAAAAATTAGATTCTCATCTAATCTGTTGGGAAAAATATTTATCATCTCTTTTTAATTTCTATCCAATAAATTAATTTTCATATTAAATGTTTATAATGTAGCATAAAATAACATAACACATTACGTTACATCACATACCATTTCATTATGATTGCATTGCATGGCATCATCATCATCAACACATTGTGTTGTACAAAGGAAACTTTTTATATGCTCATTGCAAACGACATAAAGAGATGAGATGATAAAATGCGTCATCATGCATGTATATATGCATCAAACAGACACACATATATCTCATATTTTTTATGTAATAATAATATAGAAACATTATGTGTCAATAAGATAGCATGAGCATCTCATAAATCGTGCCAATAAGAATGAATGAAGTGTGAGTCACGTTGCTAAAAGTTTCAATAATAATAATTTGTATCAGGAGCATGGTAGCAATTATTTAAAGGAAATCATTTCTCGGAATGATTTAAATCTTCAAAGGAAATGATTCAGATTGGTGTAGAATTATCAAAGGAAGTGGAACAGATTAAAAGAAGCAATTCATTTGTGAATTATAAAAAATAATATTTATCGATAATTATTGATATGTTTTGGTAGTTGGTTATAAAGAGTATAAATACTTAATCCACGGCTGTTCCTACCTTGCCCAAAAACAATACAGTTCTTCTATAAAACAGCACGGATCGAATGTAAAAAAACTTGAGCTATCTCTATTATGTCTTGTAATTGAAATATCTTGCTGATTAACTTGCTTTCTTGCTTGCTTTCAGAAAGCGTATGTTGCGATTTCTTCGTGTCCTCACAAAATACGAAAAACTGAATCTTCAATTTGAGCAAAGATAATACATTCACACTTGAATACGGTGTGTAATAATAATAATAATGTGTGGAGAGCCCAGCCTTTCAGCTGGAGGCACTGCGATTCAAATTAGAACAGAATCTATTGTACCACACCCTTTAGACCTACAGTTTATAGTGGGATCCGAACCACTTGCAAGCTCTGCACATTGCAAAGACACGAGTACGTCATAAGACCTGATGTACCCTGCAATGTACCTAGTCACAATTTGTGTGCGCAAGATGCCGTGAATACGGTGTGAATAAATAAAAAAAATTATGTTAAATCTCGAGTTGAACTGATTAAATTGGTTAAACCGTAGCATACATTCTTCGATAAAATGATTCCCTAGCATACTTGGAGAATACTTTATTAAAATCACTTAAAAATTTGCAACTCCAAAGCTAACAAGGAGTTAAGCTATCATTACAGTACATTTGTGAACTCGAGAATTTCTCTATTACATTTCTGTAATATCTAACCATAAAGACAATTCAATTTACTCTATCTGTATTCACATCAAATGCAGCATTTCAATTTACTCAATAAATTCTCTCATTACATTCATAAAAGTCATTTGAAGTCAATTCTGCTCATAATAATGATAATGTCATTTCATTCCATTACATTACATTGCACAAAATAAATGGAAGTAGAAGAATAAAAAAAATGCAACAAGAAAAAAATGAGACATTGCTTATACTTATAAAATTGAAATGATATCGACATGAAAGTACATCTCGATTGGTGGCTGATTGACTTAAATGAATTGTTGACAAGTGGAATGAGCAAGTAAACTGCAGCGGGACTGTATAGCAGAAGAACTAAAAGATTATATTATTTTATTTTTATAAATGTTGATAATTGACATGTTCAGAATTGTAATTTTTCTGATGGCTGAAGCACATTCTGCCAGAACAGCGATGATAATGTTAATGATCATATTATTGTGGTATGTAGAATTGTCGGTGTAAAAAAAATTAAATTTGCATTTCATATTCTATATTTAATTGCTTTATTAACTATAAAAATATCAAATTCTCGAGATCTACCCAGATCAACAGAATAGCATTAACTTTCATTTATATAATGCCTATTAAACTTTACAGTTATCTCTGTTCAAAACCACAAGAAAACAAAGATACATTCTGAAACAGTTGATGACATAAAAAAATCTCATAAAAGTCAGTCAAAAGTTTGATGCTGTACAATTTTAATGAATTTTTTTGCTGTCGATGATGTCATAACATATCATTGCATGTTTCTGTTTAAAGTCTAACTGCTTTTATACTACAAAAACATCTATGAAACTCTGTATACATCGCCGTTCGAGTCGACTCGAGTGATGAAAAAAGTCAATTTTAAATCAGCCATATAAAAGCAAAGAGCAATAAATCAACGAAATTGGGAATCAAATCAAATCGAAAAAGCATGAAAAGAAAAGAAATGTTGAAAATACTTTATGGATGTTGCTTTTTTTATTTTCGATTTCTATCTATCTAATTCCTCCTCCCCTTCTCTGTATGATGCCTTTCCATCCAAAAAAAATCATCATCTTCCCCGCACAAGACTGTAGAAAAAAAGAGATCGATGAAATATTGAGGATTGTTGAGAATTCATCACATCACAGAGTATTTGAAATGAAAGAAATCATAAAAAAATATTATTTCAACACAAAATAGATAAAAAAAAATCTCTTTTAAGCAATGTATACGTACAGATCACAAGAAAGGGGAGACAGAAATTGAAAATTATTGAATGATTCCAATACTTTGTTCTTTTTGTTTAAAGCTTCAAGAAAAATCTTGGATTTGCTACTCTATGTTCTACCAATCTAATAAAATCCAAATAAAAAATATAAAACTCCAATAAGTTACAGCAATTTTTCTCCAGGTTATGTGTCCTTACACGAGCCATTAAGTTTTATGCATAGCTACACAAAAATTGCTACTATATTAAGGTAATACAAAAGAATAATGAAATGAAGAATCAAACAAATGATATTTATAGACAGAATAAAAGTATTATCAAAATTTGACTTATCATTAGTACGTTTCATACTTGAATAATATCTGATAAATATCTAACAAAGCATTTAAATGATCTTTAAAAAATTCACAAATCACGTTACATAGGAAACAAATTATCTTTTTATTTTTTAAAGTTTGACTTGCCGTTTAATCGTTACATTAATTTCTAATGACATTCTTAATTCTTTTTTAAGAACAAACGAAACCATAGGAAATTGAAATTTATTTTATTATGGTCAAAATATGCAGAAAATCTGTCTAGCTCATGTATTGATTGTGAAACAAAACAAAGGAAGAAAAATTTATAAATACTGAAGTTTTGCGGGGGAGTTGTTTCCAATAGTATACTGGATGTGTAGAGGCCAAAAAAGAATGAACAAGCCAATAATAATAATAAAGTTATAGAATCTTTTTTCTCCTAAGCATATTTCTTTTTACATTTTTATTTTCATTTCAATTGTGTACCAAATATAATGAGATATAATCAGCCATTCTCATAACCATAGACGAGAAGAGAATGTGGGTATACGCACTGAAGAAGGTTGAAATAAGAATATGAGAATATAACAATAAGTATATTGAAAATCGTTAGTGAAGAGATGAAGCAGAATGGAAAGAATGAAAAAAAAAACCAGAAATGAATCTTGATTGCAGCCTTATTTGCAATCAAATGGACCATTTTTTGCTTCCTTCTATCTCTTTATCTACCATTCTTTTGATTTCCTTCTCATCTTTTAAATTCTTAGTTCTTTTGCATGAGCCATATCTATTCCTATTATATGTATTTTAAAGAAAGCAAAATAAGAGCAAAAGTACCAGAAGAGATTCTCTCTATCAATTTATTTTATTTATTCCAATATGAATACGAATTTAATGGACCTTAAGCATAACATACTTATTATGCTAAAGCAAAAAAAAAAAACATAAATCGCATTAGTAAGAAATTTCCATTTCAACTCCAAATTCGATTATGCTAAAAGAAGATAAGACAGAAAGAGTGAGGGAGGATTAAGGAGCCTTACAAAAAATTACATGAAGTATCTGGATCTTTTGCTCTTTCAATTTATTGACTTAAGATTTCCTTGCGAATTTTGCTAACAAGGAAACATACATAATGGAAATCACTAAACGTTTTTAATAATCTTGGTTACCCTTCTGCTTGTCAAAATGTCAGCATCAAATGCTTCATATACTGATATTGTAGATAATAGTTGTATAGAGTTCTCAATAAATTTACAAGAGAACTTAAAAATATATTTGAACAATTGCTGACATTAATAACTTCAACAAAATCCAATAACTCTTTGATATCATATACATACAATAATTGATTATATCTAGCTATATCTACATTCATCAACGTAATAACATTTTGAAGCTTCAATTCTTAAAATACTCGCTTCTGAATATTATCATTGTATAGACAAAACAATGTAGTCATCAAAATATCAATCTCAAAAGATGATTAAATTCCTTTTGTTGTCAATAAAAGGATTTCACTTAAAAACGAAGTAGAAGAAAAGCATGAATAATTTATTTATGATAAAAAAGAATGAAATCAAATTTATGAGAACGAAAGCAATGAAATGAAATCTAAAAGGATCATATAATGTATAAAATCTCCTTGATATGAAAAAAATTCAGGACGCATTTTCCATCATCTTTTGTTTTTAACGCACAATCTACTAAATATTATTTTCATAAAAAAACTCAGCATTACATACAGTACAGTGATACGTCTTCTGTTATACGCCACTGAATGATTTGAAAATAGATGCATGCAGTCAGAAGAAACAGAAAAATTTAGAACGTTTCTCGATTTTTTTATGATCTTCTTACGTAAATACAATAGAACGTTGAATCACCCAGCATTATCAATATACATTGAACATAAAGAAATATAAAATAAAAAGTAATTCAAATTGCTCCACTGTGTTCAAATAAAATAAAAGGAATTGAATTTAAATATTTTTCTTCTTACTTTATCTCATTCAACTTGAGCTTGAGCTCTTTCACAATTGAAATTGTGAGCAAAAAAAATGAAAAAAAGAAAAATGACAAGATGTGAAGCAATCAAACAGACAGGAAAAAAGGAAAGAGAGCAAAAAATCGTAACAACTTCATTAAAAAATCTCACATATCTCGCAATAAATATATGAAGGATGTATTTAAACGAAGCTTGGCATGTCATGAATGCTGATAAGGTTTACAAATATAAATAGTAAAATTCAAAAATCGTACAAAGATACTGTCTCATTTCCCTAGCGAGACTAACTAGCAAATTGCTAGTCTTTCTATTTTACTACTTGCAATTTACTAGTTATTTTTAAAACAACTTACTATTAGTAAATTACACTTACTATTTAATAGCAAATTACTAGCAAACTTCAATGAGAAAAGTTTGATCAAGTCTGCTTAAGTTCGAATCCTACGAAAAATCATCAAAAAAAAGAATTTTTTGCATCATAAAAAATTTTGTTCTAAATTTGGCATTTGCCATATACTTCACAAGAGCGCGCAGAAATCACCTTTATAAGGTCGATCCAAATTTGTATGAGACATTCAATTTAATTATTTATCTTCCTCAGGTTTGCGTGCGAGTCATAAGCGTTCATCAGTGTTTGACTTAATTAAATTAAGTCTTTTATTTTTTCCGTAGTATTAGTGTACTTTAATTAATTAAACTAAGTACACACTAATACTTTTACAATAATTTACACAAATAAAAAAATCAAAAAAACACGTGGAAATCAACGGTTATATTCATTTAAATTTTTTACAAATTTGCTAGTAAATTACTAGTTAAATTGTAAGCGAATTGACTAGTCAATTAGCAAGTGAAAATGCGGGTCTTTGGCGATGATTTGAACTTGGATTTTGACTAGTAAATAGCGAGTAGCAAATGGAAAGTTATCCAGTAAATTACTAGGAAATTACTAGTAAATTTCTGCTAGGGTTTGAATATCTGTTGACTTCAAAGGATGTATCCAAAGAATGACGAATAAAACAAATACATAACTAAAATCTGAATTCTACAAATTTATGACTCATTTCAAAATTCATCTAGATCTAATGAAAGTAGGAATCTTGTAGATGATGAACTTCAAAGCCATAAATCGTAACTAAATTCTGTCATCTAATCAATTGAAAGCTTTTGAATTTTTCCTCTCATTTAAAAATGATAAAGTGAACAAATTTATCATAAATTCAATGAAAAATGAGCAACTTCCTCTTCTTCCAATTTACTTCTCTAATCCACGTATAAATGCTTACATATGATATCGAATTTCATTGAACAGCGAATAATGCGAAAGTCGAGCTAGGTTGCTGATAATAGAAGAAAATAGAAAATAAGAAAGCAACCAGTGGTAGATGAAATGAGATTCTGTGTTAAAGCCTTATGCCACATGTTACAGAAAAAAAAAATTAGTCGATGTTGTACAAAATAGATATTGAATAGTGAATAGTATAACATAAAGGAATATAGTACAATATAGGAATGAGATGATGGATTATAATGCAAGAATGGAAATATCCTGTTGCTACTTCCATTTCCCATTGTTGTATTCATAGCTTGATATTCAAAATAAATAGTGAATGAATCTCTTCTTTCAAAAATTTTACAAATTTTTCATCTTCTTTAAATTTTTTTTTCAGACACAAAAGAAAAGTTCAAAACTTTCTTCCGTGCAAAACACCATCTAGAAATGCATTAGACCCAAGTGTAATACCTGTAGGACAATCGCTAACATATGAAGATCCCGACATGCATCTGGGACATCATAGGCCACTTGTGATGAGACAACATCCGTTAAATCCTGAGGTGAGAAAAAAATAAATAAAAAATTGTTCATTTTGCTGACTCACATTATGCTATCTTCTGTTTGATGGGAAGTGACAACATCTGGCATTAGAATTATTTCCCCAAACCTTTTGCATCATATAATATTGAGCACGTATATTCAGAAGTTGTCAATAAATATTTTAATACGATTATATGATGGAACAAAAAATTAGCATTTCAAAACTGTAGTAATAATTTTAGAATAGAATAAGTGAGTAGCGCACGGCAGTAACAGTGAAAAATAATATTATTAATAACAACGTATGATGTTGAAAGAGTTTATGTATGAAACTTATGAGCTCATAAAATGCCGTTTTCATCGACATTTTCATTAACTACTTTAACTGTGTCTCTTGTATTTATGGAAACATTTGTTCATGTTTTTAAATGATGTATAGTTCCAATTCAAAGTAGACACAAAGGCTGTTCCTGAATATGGAACCGACACCATTTTGGATTCCAAGGGTTGGAAATTCATGTAAAATTTAATTTGAATTTTGTTTTTGGGTGTTTTCTTTCAAATAATTTTCAACTGTTTTTTTTCAAATATTTTTTGACTGTTATTTTTCAAATATTTTAAGTTTTTGGATTTAATTTTCTACTCGAATTCTGTGCGGGGAAAATGCGCTTCGGTCGATCACGTGTTATCAGCTCATTACTGGTTTACTAGTATCTTAGAGTATTTATTAACTTCTGCAAGATTTTTCAAGTTTTTAAAAAAATGTTGAAAATATAAAGAGAATTATTAATGTCTTAATAACTTCGTAAGCTTATTGCCGCTATTTAACTGCTATTGCGAAAGAATATTCACATAATATATTATATATAACGTGAACACATTTACTCAGAATATAGTCATCATTATTGTTACGAAAGCTGAAAATAATAAAATTAGCAAGGTTTCATTTATTGCTGTAGTAAGTACAAAATAAATAATAATCTGAGGCGCACACATGACTAGGGTAATACAATAAAATAAAATTAACAAGAAGCAGACACAAGTACGATGAGAAAGATAATTTGAAGCCTATTAAAATTCAGAAATGTTGAAAAGATGTGGAAAAGAAAAGAGACGAAAATATTCAGAATTTCATTCATATCAAAGCGTTTCATATTTTTTTCTCTTTTTTCTTTGCTTTCTCCTTTAAAAAATTAACACCAAATTCACGTTATTGATTTTAAATGTCTTAAACGTCCTAAACCACCAGACTAAAATGTTTTTACTTATAAAAATTATTTTCGTTCCTTTATCATTCAGCTCCACTCATTCAATTTTATTTAACCATATTTTTATTTTCTGTTTTGCTTTATATTCGCATTAATAATAAAAGCCGATTAAAAGTTATTGGAAAATTAAGACATTTAGTCATTGAAGTCTATAAATTTCCATCATGGTGTGTGGGTTTCTTGCACAAGAATCACAATAATATTCAGAGAATTAAAGAAAAGAAAACAGAAAATGAAATTATTTAAAAGACTTTATCGTTAATTTTTCTTTGATAAAAGAAAATTAAATTTGTCTTTGTTTTACTTAACATCATCATCATCGTCGTTATTATCAGCATTGTCGTTGTCATTCATTGCTCTATATTGTACATGACGCTAAAAGAAGAGACTCATTCAACAAGGCAAGCTGGCAGGGAACTGATTTATTTATGACAATCAAAATTCTTCTTTTTTATACTTCATATATAGCTGTTGTTCTTGTTATTGTAATAAGACACACGCATGTTGGATGAATGTGTGTATTCCTACATATATGTGCGGATATACAATTTCAAAAGTAAAAATCAAAGAAAAGAGACGAGAATCAATTTTAAGTGTCTTTTTAATGTCGTCGTCATTCACAAAAAAAAGGAGACAGATAAGATGAGAAGAATGGCGGGGAGAACGAGTGAGATATAGAACAAGTTGTGGTGTATTAAGTCATTGTCTTTGTCATTATTTAGCAATATCACGAGCAGCAATATTATCTCTTTCAGTGCGACTCTTACTGTCTCAAAAAAATGCTGCCTCTTGGTTGTCAAAAGATTAAAAAATGAAACAAAAAAGAATGAAAAAATGTTGAAGCAGACCCTCAAACATGGCACTCAGAATTTTTTCTTTATTTCACATTCATTCGTCACAAAAAAAATTAAACAAAGAAAAATCACAGATTTATAAAAACATTTTTTGCGTCCTATTCAATGATGCTTGTGTATCAGAGAAACGATTCTCAAAGCAATTAAATTCAATTAATTAAATAACTTTCTATCTTCGATCTTTGCCTTTCTGCATGTCTGAGTTCAATCTATTAAACATCAACAACAATTCTTTCATTTCATTGTTAGTGATGAAGACAAATTGACTTAACTCTTGTTATTAATTCGTTATTTTCTCATTTAATGAATATCTTGCATTTTTTGTGCAAAAAGTATCCAATGTGATAGTAAATCGAAAAATAAAAGTGATGCATTTAAAATTTGCAGAATGTTAAATACACCTCAATTTATCTCCACTCGGCTTCTTTTCCTGATGACTTTTTTATGCCTTAAAAATGGCAAAGCATGGCAAGCATAAGGACTTTGTAGGACTTGTAGGACTTTTTAACCGGTAGAGACAGTCTACTAACTAGAAAAACATCCCAAAAAACATATATTTATATCTAAGAAAATATCAAAAAACAGTCACAATCCTCAAATAATTCTTATCTTTGAGAGACTGAATAATAATAATAATAATAATAATAATGTCTACTTTAGTTGCACCAAGAATGTACGAAATAATTTAAGATATGTTTGGCTTGATCACTTTCTACTAAGACCGAGTTTTCAAATTGTAGAGTATGTAATTTTGTACAAAAATCTTTAAAAATAAAAACTTTTCCTTTTTTGACAACTTTCTTTGCTATACTTTTTAAAGCTTTTCTAATTATATATATGGATGTTATGGATATTGAGCATAGAAAGGAACTAGGGAACTTAAATATTTTCTGACCATTTTTTATTTTGAGTACTGTTTGTGAATTAAGACTTTTTATGCAAAATACATGGAAACAACATTGAATTACAGAGTTTTATTTATAGCTGGGGTGTCAAGTACAAATCTCAAGTACTTGGGTATTTGGGTTTTTTTGAAAGGATTTGCCAAAACTCAATTGCTAATAATTCACGGGATATACTAAAATTTACTATTTTAATACTCAAAATGAAATCCCAGTAGTATAATCTAGCCATTCATCACTAGTTATTTAAGTACATTTTTGGTGATTTTATAAGTTTTTGTTGACAAAAAATTATTTCATTTAAAAGTGAATTTTTAAATTTATGGGAGGAGTTATAATAGATTGAAACTTAAATTGCTAATTTAAGCATCTGTTCAAAATTTCATTACCATGTAAAGTTTAAAGCTCTTTTTCCATTTCACCGTTCTAGTTACGAAGCTCGGTTTTGTGTGTTGGGTGTAGTATTGATGTCTTTGGCACAGAATATGCCTCCTTTGTTAGGTATACAAGAATATACTAGCATCTGGATGACTTCCTTACGGCATCTTACGGCATCTTACGAATTGTGACTTGGTACATTGCAGGGTACATCAGGTCTTATGACGTACTCGTGTCTTTGCAATGTGCAGAGCTTGCAATTGGTTCGGATCCCACTATAAACTGTAGGTCCAAAGGGTGTGGTACAATAGATTCTGTTCTAATTTGAATCGCAGTGCCTCCAGCTGAAAGGCTGGGCTCTCCACACATTTTTATTATTATTATTATTTAATATTAGTTTTAATTTTTGATGCAAAAAATCTATTTTAAATATTTTAAGGCGGATTTTGAGACAAATAAACCATTCTGATTTCTGTATTTCCTCAAAATGGGCTCGTTACGGGATCCTTACATCTAGTTATTAATATTTAACTGAGACTGTTGTTTATAAAAATAATTTGATAAGAAGCCAATAAAGATTATTGAGTCAATACCACATTGCACACCAATTGACATTGAATTTATCTCGCTAACTACCTCCTTTCTTCACATTTACTTCCTTTAGTCTTTTAATCTTTTTATTTCAATTTTCATCATCTTACTCTCTCATTCACAACAGTTTAAGCGTTTTATTTCATATGGTGCAAAGAAAAGTAAATGAAAAACTCGTTAAAAGTTAATTCATTAAAGAAGAAAGAAAATGAGAAATTGGTTTTTATATTGGAAGTAATTGAATTTGTTGAGCTACAACATGAAACAATATTTAGTTTCAATTCTCTTTTAATGCCCTTTTATGTTAAGGTATTTTTCGCATCAATATTTCATATTAAACGTTGGTAAATGCTACAGTCAAGCAATTCTTTTCTTTCAGCTTAATTTTTATTTTTTTCTTGTTTTCATTTCTCCATTACTCGATACACACATGTATTCATCGTCGTTTGCTCGTTTCTTCGTCATTATTATGATTAATAAAAAGAAAAAAAATGATATTGAAATTTGATATGTTTCAAAATATCTGCCTGAATATAAATGAATTATATAGAAGATATATGAACATATTTATGTACGCAAGAAATAAAGAACAACAAGCAATTTGAGAAAGAAAAAGAGCAAAAAATCAAAAGCATAAAAAAATGAATGAAAAGAGATGAAATATGAAACATCCAAGAGTGATCAATTACAATCGATAGATAAGAATTGTTCATAAACATAAATGTATGAGTAAAACAGTGTATTCAACTTTTTACCATCAAAATCATCTTAATAACCACACAAAACATTTTTTTAAGATTAATGTTATTATGAGCACTTGATACTTCTTTTTAGCATATTTTCCTTAGGAACATAAATTTAAAATTTTTATCGTTTAATTTAACGCTGTATTGACATTTTTATTTTAATTTTAGAACACTTAAGAAGCATCAGCTTAAATTTCATTAAATGGAAACGTCAGAAATTTCACTAAAAAAATTTCATTCGTCATCAAAAGATCCATCATGTGAAAGCATGAGTTTCACAC